CAAATCCATCTGTTACAGCTCAAGTCAGCTCTCAACAGGTAGCCAATCCATTTCTCAGTACTTCTCCTCAAACCTTTTTAACGTTCTTGTTTGAGGTGATTTCAGGATGCTTTAATGCAACAACCAAAGAGGAACAGATTAATCGTCTTGTGTCGGCGGCAAAAATACATCTTCACATCGATGTTCCTAGTGATCTGTTGACTGAGGTACATGTGGAGATGAATGATGGATAAAGCATTAGTATTCTTGACCATAATGCAATGGAATGCACAAAGTCTCGTTGCACATGGGGATAATTTAAAGCATTTTCTATCAAATAGGTCACCACTGCCAGATGTTATTTGTGTACAGGAAACTTTTCTTTGGCCAGAGAGTCATTTTAGAATTAATGGCTATTTTGGTCTACGTCAGGACAGACTAACCAGCAATCCGAATACTCAAAATCCTCGGAGAGGTGGTTGCGCTATATTTATTAAGACTGATTTGTCGTATCAGGTTCAAGAATTAACAAATACAGTGTATGAGGCTAACGCAGTAAAACTTCATTATGAGGAAGATAAAGTCATTACTATTGTTAATATTTATAATACAGGTAAGCCAAACGTAGATGGATATCTGAAATTAATTGATCCCAATGGAGGCCCATGTTTTATATGTGGGGACTTCAACAGCCATAATATGTTTTGGGGAAGCAACAAGACGGATTATAATGGTCGGATTGTTGAACAATTTTTAGATGAAGCAGATCTTGTCCTTTTAAACGATGGTAAAATGACCCGCATGGATCTTGGCAAATGGCCTTTTTCTCCTTTAGATCTATCAATGATATCATCACACATAGCCAGTAAGTGTAACTGGGATGTATTTCAGGAAGATGCATTAGGTAGTGACCACTTTCCTGTTTTTACTGAAATTCAGGTTCGACCATATCGTGATTCTTGTGATAAAGTCCCTCGGTGGAAATTCAAGAAGGCTAATTGGGCACTTTTTTCTAGTCTGTGTACTGAACATATCACACCCGATCTTATAAATGGTGATGTTAATATGTCTAATGAAAATATCACAACACAATTAATAAGAATTGCAGAAGAGTCCATTGGAAAATCGTCTGTTAAGAAAGCGGCATTCCCGCCAAAGTCCTGGTGGAATGACAGCTGTGAAAAAGCCAATATCGCAAAGAAAAAAGCATATAATAAGGTTCGCCACTCGTCATTGCCATGTGATTTGGCTGATTTTCGTAAGAAACGAGCTACGTTCCAACGTAATGTACGGAGTACAAAACGGTTGAGCTGGATGGAATATATTTCTAATATTAATAGATTTACATCATTAACTAGTATCTGGTCCAAGGTGAAAACGATCGGTGGAAATAATATTCGTTCACCTATACCGGTAATGGGAGAAGCTGGAGAACTCGTATCAAAAAGTCAGAAAGTAAATGCTCTTGTTTTGAAAGTTTTTGAAACAAATTTTATTCCTGAAATGTCTTCTGCCATGTTGGAAAGTAGCTTGGAAATCAATACAGCTATCACTCATGATGAACTTAAGGCAGCCATATCAAGAACACATAATTCGGCACCAGGCGCGGATGAGTTGTGTTATGAAATGTTTAAGCATATGCCAGATTCTTCTCTAGCTGTTATTCGGGAACTATTGAACTTAAGTTGGTGTTCTGGATCCTTGCCTACGACATGGAGACATGCAATAATAGTTCCAGTGCCCAAACCAGGAAAAGATCCATCGCTTCCTGCATCATATAGACCGATTGCTCTCACTTCTAATTTATGTAAAATCATGGAGAGAATAGTTACTACCCGCCTGAACTATTATCTTGAACGAAATGAGCTTCTTACTCACATCCAGTCAGGATTCAGAAAGGGGCGTTCATGAATAGATCAGCATGTTCGTCTGGAAACTGAAGCACAGAAAGCTTTATGCAACCAGGAATACATGTTGTGTGTATTCCTTGATATCGAAAAGGCTTATGACATGATTTGGAAAAATGGTTTGCTTTTTAAACTTGGCATTAGAGGCAACATGTTCAAGTGGATATGGTCATTTTTGTCCGAAAGGACCATTCAAGTTCGCATATGTCAAGAACTGTCAGGCGTGCATATGACTGAAAATGGTACCCCACAAGGAAGTGTAATAAGTCCAGTTTTATTTAATATTATGATCAATGACATTTTCGAGGACCTGCCTCTAAACATAAATGCAGCACAGTTTGCTGATGACGGATCGTTTTGGAGACGCTTTCGTAATTTTCAGTTTGTCATAGAATCTATACAAAACTGCTTAAGTAAAATCAGTACATGGTGTTCAAAATGGGGGTTTAAGATTTCAAAATCAAAATCAGTGGCAATGATGATCACAAGACGTAAGATCCCTCATGATATCAGTTTATCTCTTGGACATCATAAACTGGAAATGGTGTCAGTGTTCAAATTTCTTGGTGTGTATTTTGATCAAAGATTAACATGGTCTCATCACATCGCACATTTGTATAACACATGTAACAAGATCATCAATCTATTAAAGTGTATTTCAAAAACAAAGTGGGGCGCTGATAAGTCAACTATGTTATTGCTGTACAAGGCCCTTATCTTGTCCAGACTTGACTATGGTTGTCAGGTGTATATGTCGGCGGCTAAATGTCATCTTAATAAGCTTGATAGAATTCAGTCTAAAGCTTTGAGAATATGCACTGGTGCATATTGTACTACTCCAACCTCAGCTCTTCAAGTTGAGTGTTCAGAAATGCCCCTTCACCTTCGAAGACAACAGGTATCTTTGAAATATTTCTTGAAAATGAAAACCAAGAACAAACACCACGCAGTCACTGAGATTGTTAATGACTGTGTGGAATATGTCATGTGTGACTGGACTCATGGCAAATTACCCTTTGGCTTGAATATTCAGAGATTAGCTGATCAACATGGTATCTACAACTGTAACCCAGTTGATCCTTCTGCTCCGCCTGTCACACCTCCGTGGGTTCTGCTGAAGCCTGGATTGAATTCGGAACTCAATTTAATCGTGAATAAGAGAATGGACCAAAACATAATAAAAGTGATAACTCAAGACTTTCTGTCTGAAAATTATTCTAATTTCACACATATATACACTGATGCATCGAAAGAACCATCCAATAATCGTACTGCTGGGGCTTTTGGATACCCAATTTATCGATCGCTAAGGTGTTCAGATTCCTTGATTATCTTTCTGTTTTGCAGCTGAACTTTTGTCCATTTTGCAAGCATTGAGATGGGTAGATGAACATGACCATGAAGCAATTATCTTTACAGATTCTATGGCAGCAATCAAAGCTATAGAAGCTGGTGCAAATGGATCTAGAGATGACATTGTGCATGAGATATTAAAGTTGGATACATCGTTAAACTTGAAGTATATTGCATGCGACATTGTGTGGGTCCCAGCACATGTTGGAATACATGGGAATGAGATTGCAGATAATTTGGCCAAATCCGGGTTACAGTTTCCTGAAGTTGATTTTATTTAAATTTCAACCAATCCCTAAAGATTATGAAAATGTTTTATCGAAATCTGTTACAAGGAGTTGGCAACAGTTGTGGGATACAGGTACTACCGGCCGACATATGTACAAACTTAGACCATCACTAAAATCTGGTCATAAAATTCGTCGTCGTAAAAGGCGTGATGAGGTTATTCTTTCACGTCTAAGACTTGGACACTGTGGGCTAAATGCCTACAGGAGTATTATAGATAAGACGGTCTCTTCTAAATGTGGCCATTGCAATTTGGAGACGCCTGAAAACATCGAACATTATCTAATTACATGCCCTGGGCATAACAACATAAGACAAAATCTCAGAAGTGCTGTACTTGAGGTTGATGATGTATTCTCATTAGAAACAGTTTGGGCCCCAATATCATGCATGGGTCTGTGCAACGGGCAGTTTTAGATTTTGTCTCGTCATCTGGAAAATATGATGTAATCTAGACAGGCTCTCGAATGGCTTAGACAGATTTAGTTCTGTGGTTTTAAATCATTTTAACACTCTGTCATCTGAACCTACTGCTTTTTTATTGAATGAGTATTTCATGTTTCAGAAATGGAAGTGATTACTTAAGGTTTTTAATCCGTAACACGAAGCAGAGGTTATTCCATATATGTATACATCTATCCAAATTAATAGTGTTGTCGTTTCTTTTATCTTACATATGATTGTTTATTAAATCAAGTCAATGTGTTGGGCGCAAATAGGCCTCTTATTGGCCCACGTCGCCCTAAAACTATAAAACCAACCAACCAACACAAACTCAACCAGATGCATGTTTCAATATGGTTTTATTTGTAAGCAACTTTTACAACAAACATGGGCTGCAATATACTCTGCCTGTTGATCTGGTTAAAGGATAACTGTAAAGCTACTAATGTTCAATGTAGTGGTAATACGACGTATATAGCATATAGAGTGTGAACGTATATAGAGTCTGGACGTATAAAGGGTGGGTACATTAACTCTCTTGTCTACGTCTGATACAGACTACGTAATATCTGTTTTTATATTGGTGAGTTTTTCTGTTACAGGTCACTGAAAAATATTCAAATGAAATGTCGGGAAAGTTTAACGTGGGAACAAAGCCCGAAATCAAACCCATGATTTAAAGTTTCTGGAATGCCTAATGAAGGCAACTATGCCCAGGAGATATTCATACTTGAATATTTTGGTCATTTATAAACCGCTCTATTGTTGACGCAATCGACAGAAACCTTGCAGTTGCAATAGAAGATGCCAGAAAACATGTTGTGCATAATTAATAGGTATCAGCCTGCAATAGGAGTTAAAAGAGGAAAGTATGGATAAAGTACACGAATTTCCAGCCAAGCTGAGGATGTCGCCCAACTATACTATGTACACGGTCGCATTTCGTCCTGTTGTATAACAACATTCTGATGATACTGTAAGAGATACTGTAAGAGATACAATATTGTTAAATATATATAACACTTACTGTAAGCGATACATCATTGCTAAATATATATAACACTTACTGTAAGAGATACATCATTGCTAAATATATATAACACTTACTGTAAGAGATACATCATTGCTAAATATATATAACACTTACTGTAAGAGATACATCATTGCTAAATATATATAACACTTACTGTAAGAGATACATCATTGCTAAATATATATAAGACTTACTGTAAGATATACATCATTGCTAAATATATATAACACTTACTGTAAGAGATACATCATTGCTAAATATATATAACACTTACTGTAAGAGATACATCATTGCTAAATATATCTAACACTTACTGTAAGAGATATATGCATTGTTTATAGAAATATACCAATCGTTTACAGATGCATGCTTAAAATGTACAAATGCTTACAAATAATATACACTCTCTTCACAGAAATACAACCATTGCTTTACCAATTATTTTCAAAACTACCTCTGTTTTAACAAAATCATTACAAGGCTCCAACCATTCCAGGGATATCATTCCTTGTGCTGACTTACATTGAAATGTTAAAATAACCATACAAGATCTTGTCCATATACCATGTATTTCCCTATTGTAACTAGATACTGAATATGGTGCACATACTACCAGTGAGTCTGACATGACTTAAGCTCATTTCAGATGTTTTAGCACGTCAATGCACTACCCACTATTCAAAATAAAATATCGTAGAACATAAACATTCCCCTCAATCCAGGCGTGGAAAAGGCAAGTTTCGTCCACCTTGGTCAACACTGCTTCACGTTCACGGAAGAGCACACAATTCTGAAAAGACATTTATATTTCACCAATAAGGAAATAGCATTTTCTTTCAATGAAATAGATACGACCTATAGTTTATAGTCACGGAAACATTGTATTGTCAATGTATATACAACAAGTACATTTGTCGGAGCGAACGTGTACTCCGATTCCCAACATAAATTTTATAACAAAATATTTTGATTCATTTCGTGAAAATTTCGTGACATTTTCCTTTATACACATATTGAATGAATCATGCTCATTCCATTACGTCTTTCTTAAGAAGTTACATCTGTATGCAAATGCTCGTGGCATTAAATCTTTCTTAAGAAACTACACCTGTACACAGATGCCCGTTCTATTTAGTCTTTCTTAAGAAGCTGCATACATTGTATGTACACAGATGCTCGTCTCATTAAGTCTTTCTTAACAAGCTACATCTGTACACAGATGCCCGTTCTATTAATTCTTTCTTAAGAAGCTGCATACAATTTATGGTCTTTGGAATCTATATATGTATAGTTATGTCCTGACCTGCACACTGATCGTCACTCCCATTGTTTACTCGCCTTATCTCCTGTTCCCATGGGAAGGTATCATTGGTCTTCTTTCCGTGTCTTGGATTTTTCTGTACAAGACATCCGAGGGTAGCTTGCCACCGTCTCCAGACTTGGCAGGATCTGGCATCCTGTTCGCCCCGCCAACAGGATTCGCCTGCTCGTTCGCATACTGAGTTTCTTCACTGAAATCCTTGGCAAACAATCCTGTTTGTGTCGCTGTGCGGTCCATATCTTCGTAAACGTTTCCAATATGCTGTGAAGCCTCAAGGGACTCATACTGCTGAAGGTCTGTTGCCCCACTACTACGCTGGGTATTATCTATGTAATGGTAGGCTCCACTTGCTCGGACATCATCTGTAGAAAGTGTAATGTTATTGATTCATAATTATTCCCGAAAATATTGCACAACATGCCCCACTACTACGCTGGGTATTATCTATGTAATGGTAGGCTCCACTTGCTCGGGCATCATCTGTAGAAAGTGTAATGTTATTGATTCATAATTATTCCCGAAAATATTGCACAACATGCCCCACTACTACGCTGGGTATTATCTATGTAATGGTAGGCTCCACTTGCTAGGGCATCATCTGTAGAAAGTGTAATGTTATTGATTCATAATTATTCCCGAAAATATTGCACAACATGCCCCACTACTACGCTGGGTATTATCTATGTAATGGTAGGCTCCACTTGCTCGGGCATCATCTGTAGAAAGTGTAATGTTATTGATTCATAATCATTCCCGAAAATATTGCACAACATGCCCCACTACTACGCTGGGTGTTATCTATGTAATGGTAGGCTCCACTTGCTCGGGCATCATCTGTAGGAAGTGTAATGTTATTGATTCATAATTATTCCCGAAAATATTGCACAACATGCCCCACTACTACGCTGGGTATTATCTATGTAATGGTAGGCTCCACTTGCTCGGGCATCATCTGTAGAAAGTGTAATGTTATTGATTCATAATTATTCCCGAAAATATTACACAACATGTTTTGCCTGTGCTTTTACAAGTGAGTGAGTGAGGTAGTTTAGTTTTACGTCGCTTTTAGTAATATTCCAGCAATATCATGGCAGATGACACCAGAAATGAGCTTCACACTTTGTGCCCATGTGGGGAATCGAACCCAGGTCTTCGACGTGACGAACACTTTAACTACAAAAATATATCTCACAGTTCCTAGAAAACGATTGATGTTCTCACAAAAATAGTATCGGTATATGTTATCTTTTTGTGTAATTATTTTTTATACCAAAGCAATATAACCTACATTCTAAAAATATGTATAGTTTTAAGGAATCCCAATAAATATACCGGTATATCTTGTACATTCAAATATAATAGAAATATTTTAAATCAAGTCCTACGGTTTTAATACTAATAACAGTTTTATTTGTTTTTAACTGAAAACAGATACATCCAACAAATAAACTTGTCAGAATGTGAAAACCTTACTCACTTTGCATGTCTGCATCTTCCCTCGATGCATCCATTTCAAGTTCGCGCTGCAGAAAAAAAGGATGTAGAGGTTTTAAGATATATGAATTAGTTTTGAGAACTTACGCAATGGAACGATTATATGGGCTGATGCAAAGCTCTCTCTCTCTCTCTCTCTCTCTCTCTCTCTCTCTCTCTCTCTCTCTCTCTCTCTCTCTCTCTCTCTCTCTCTCTCTCTCTCTCTCTCTCTCTCTCTCTCTCTCTCTCTCTCTCTCTCTCTCTCTCTCTCTCTCTCACACACACACATTGTACCCATGTGGGGAATCGAACCCGGGTCTTCGGCGTGACGAGCGAACGCTTTAACCACTTGGCTACCCCACCGCCACTGTTTTGACATAGAAATCACGTGGTACAAAGGAAACACTATACCTCTGTGGTGCCCTGATCACGTGGTCGTCGTAAACTAGCAATACCTTTACGGACCTGAAATGAAGGTGGAAATATTCACATCTTTATTTTGTTTGTTTGTTTCTTTGTTTGTTTGTCTAGTATTTATGGCAGCTATATGACGACGGTCTTTGAACAGACTAGTTTGGACCAGACAGCTCAGGGAATTATATTGTAAGTATCGATTAAGCAATCGATCTGGGACACGATGACATGTGTCAACCAAGTCAGCGAGCCCGACCAACCTATCCCGTTAATCGCCCCCTATGACAAGCATGGGTTGCTGAAGATCAATTCTAAACCGTATCTTCACGGGTGCCATATCGTTGAGATACATTCGTTTTGTGAATGTAAGTTTGCTGTACAATTAGATACCAGAAATAGCTCAACTCAACATATATACGGCTCGTACGAGAGGAAATCAAATTAAAACGAGATTTCTTCGTAAAAGTGGTCTCTGGGAACTCACTGTCGAAGATTTGATGTTTTGGCATCAAACCTTCTTTCACCGTATCATGATGTTACTATGAGTGAGTGAGGTGGGTGTTACGCCACTTTTAGCAATATTCCAGCAATATGACAGCGGGGTTCACACATTTTACCCATTTGGAAAATCTAACCTGGGTCTTCAGTGTGACAAGCGAACGCTTTAACCATTGGGCTATCCTATTGTTCTTAAGAGACACAGAGGTACACATCCACCTTATATGTTTATTTTAGTCATATTTCCTCTGGTCTGAAAGTTCGAAAGACAAGATATATCATTTACATGTTTGTTGGCGATACACTGTGTAATAAAGATGATCAATCCCTGCAGAACGTTGATGATTGCAAACAGATAGTCATAAACATCGCTTCCATCTTGAACGGTCAAGAGGCCGAAGATCCAGGACAAGCCAAGGACCGGTATCATGAAGCACATCCAGTGGAGAGATTTCCTGCAACAATAGCAAAAACATCTGAAAATGTTCCATGATTCCATGTCAGACAAAAATATATTTTCTTACATTTTCATACAGTCACTGTTGAACTTAAAACCCTATGTGTAGCCATGGGTGGTAAATCATTTGCGGTAAACTTCCATGCTTAAAGACAATTTGTTGTTTAACGCCGCACTAGTCCAGCTATATGGCCGCGATCTGTAAATAATCCAGCCTGGACCAGACAATCCAGTGATCAACAGCATGAACATCGACCTTGGGATACGATGACTATTTGAACAAGGCCGTTCAACTTCAACTAACACTTGGCTTACATGTAACAGTACTGACCAGTGTCAAAATGGATCCCCAATCTAAGGTGGCTATTTTCAAAACAACTGAGAAAGCTCTTTCACCCAATTTGGGTGTAATACATTTGATAGGTAGAGAGTTGGTTACAAATTGGTTTGTGGATTGAAAGTAGATTCTGTGGGCACATATAGGTATTGGCACGTACGCTTCCTTTCCTTGATCATCTTGGAGTCGTGCAGCCCGTCTCGCCAGGTGATTATGTATCATTTTCCCAGTTACAACGAAGTTAACCTGTAACAATAAGAATAGCATTGTTTAAACTGAAAATGGGTTTTGTGAAGAAACTGTTTACTTGTCAGCAATAATAATATTCTTACTTTATCGCGTATAAATGCATGTATAAATTGTTGTTGCCTTCTTCCAAACTCATGAAGACGCAGTACTAAGTTACGTCCCTTGGCCATGTCATGATCCGCAGACTTAGTTCGATTCCGCCGAGAGTATGATCCTAGTATTGTCAGCACTATGGATGGAAAACTCTATGCCATGAGTCACTTCGGCAAATTACGCTGACACGGTCTGGTACACACTAAAATTAGTGACTCTCATTAATTGTACTGTTTAAAACACTTACGCCAAAGTGAAATATGGATCCCCGGGTGGCTTAGTATTACACAAACTTCAAAAGTGGAAACCATCAAAACCTGCTTTTCAGTGCTACTTGTTGTTTCCTTGCCCGGCGCTAGGCATGAGGGGGATGGAACAAGGACTGGAAGGTCATTATACTGTGCCTGCTTGACTTATTCATATTAGAACTGCGGCATTCTATCACAGTGAGCTATAAATCCGGGACTAGGCCAAACTAATACAACACACATACTTAAAACATTCACACGTAAACTCATAGTACTATATAAGTGCAATAAACGGATTTGTCATTTTCAGTGTATAGAAATAAAACAACCACTCACGATGAGGATGAGGAGCACAGGAACAATGAACAGCCATTTCATATCACCCATGAGCGACAACCAGCAACTGCGAACAATAGACACATGACAGATCACCACATGACCAGCAAGTTTAACGTGAGTGAGTTTAGTTTTACGCCACTTTTAGCAATGTTCCAACAATATTACGTCGGGGTACATCTGAATTGGGCTTCACACATTGTTCTCACGTGGGGAATTGAACCCGGACCTTCAAAGGTTCATTTGCTTTAAATACAACGTATCAATTCAATGTGCAACAATTAATCCGTGTGCGAAATATGCGCCATGTCGGAAAGCGCTCGTAAAATCTCCAAAATCATCATCATCATAATCAAGGTGCATGTGTTCCCTGTGGACTTACGCAAATATTTGCAGCTCTTTTACATATGAGATAACACTTGTAACACTTACTGCAGGTCTGGTTCATAGACTTGCAACTGAGAACATGAGATTATGACTGCTAGCACGGTCAAGCCTTGAAAAGAAAAAACAACCCAGTAATTATCTAAAGACACAATCGTTTAAAAAGGACAATGGAAGGATGCAACAATGTCACTTCTAGATTCTACACTAAACGTGATGAATATCCTTTTTTCATTGTCTTAATAAGCAATATATTGTTTGTTTTTTCAAACCTTGGAAATGTTTTGTACATGTACAAGTTGGGGTGACATTGATAATACCTATCTATGTTTACGCGAGGGCATCTTTAGACAGATTCTAGGTTCAAGGATCTGTAAGGGTGACAGATCAGTTTTCAAAGATATGTGGCTTCACTGGTATGCTTACCACAACCCGCGAGACATTTGTGAAAAACATCAAATGAAAAACGCGCCTTCTTGAAAATACAACATCAACGCCAGAGACGATTATCCGAAGAAATATCCATTTGGCTTAAAAGGCAAAATATGAGTGAATAATATATGAATGGATCACTGACAAACAATGATGACGGTAGGTGTTCTAGAAAAGGGTATACATGTCCTGGCCTACCGATAGCACCAGTTTTACGCCAGATTATACTAGACGTTTTGATGATCCATAATTCATATCTCAAATTGGCGTAATGTTATTAAACTTGGCCTTAGACGTTTACCACTGTGATCAACCAGGTACCGTGCTGGCAAACCCATAAACCTAACCGTGGCGAATCGGGATTTGATCCCCACGAGCTGGCGTGAACAAGGGAAGCAACTCTAAACGGCAAACTGTCGCGCCAAAGACAATTGACGCAATGCTGTAAAACGATGACTTACCCCAAGCTCCAATTAACAGGGGTTTGAGTTTGGACGTGTTCCGGAGCAGGTTCGAGTCAGACAACAATGCCTCTAGGCCGGAAGCGAGCATCATAAAGAAGGTGGCCATGTAGAAGAAGTGGACGGCCACGGCGAATGCGATGCAGAGACCCTGATAGACAATATTATCATGAAAATAGCAGCAACAAACTTTGTTTTATTTTCTTAGGAGAGAAAAATATAGCTCAACTCTATTTCATTGTGTCAAATATACATTATGCATACAGACTACAGAAAAAAGTACAGTTTCTAAGGAAAGTCCTTTAGGCTATCGATAGTTCACGTACATTCTTAAAGGTGGAAAGTTTAAGCTTTGAAAACATTTATACTCATTAACTAATTTAATCATTGTCCTGATAAGGCAGTGAACAGTATGGACACCTAAATTAATACCAATTATTGGAAGATATTATAATCACAATGATGATTCGGTTAATATGCTAGACCTGCAATGTATGACTCACAAATTCGTCCCTTCCTATCCCAATCAGGAGCAGAAGCAGAGCAACAGCAAGACACACACAGATGTGGATTACGATAACACCTTGATCAGATCTTATGTACCTGAAACAGATAACGTTACCTCTGGACACGGGTGTAGCAAATGAGTGAGTGGATTTCAGTGACTCTTTGAACAGTATTCAGTCACACCTTGAAGGAAACCCCAACACGCAGGAGACATTTGCCTCTTGGTTGAACTCCTCGACCAAGAATATGGTGATGCGAGGCTATGAATCGTAAAAGAGACATGCTAGTCCTAGGCCAAATGTTAGAAAAGTCCCTATCTTTTAGGATCTCTCAGCAGCAGTAAAAGCGTTGTATCAGGTTGCTGAAAAACAAACAAGGATAACCCCACTGTTGAAACAGTGTCCACATCTCCATAGACCAACTTCATGAGTATGAACCACATGGTGTAATGGACGGTGACAAGCACTGATGTTCAACATGATCAGGATATGCAGTATGGGTGATAAGGCCTGGTGTATCATATTACCTAAAATGATGTTATCTCTACATGCGTAGGAGTAATGCTTGGAACAAGAACCCATAATCAGCTGATCCTGTTACAGAGTTACCTGACATGACAAGATTGTTATATGAGTTTTGTTAGATGATTGTAACAGGTTTACCTAATATGAAATATTTGTATTCACAGGATTTGTATTCACAGGATGATCAGGACTTAGTTAATACCTTATCGCACGGAAACTAAATCTACAGGACATGTACAACGTGTGGAAGAATATCTCATCCGGTCATGCGTAACGTAAGAACCAGTTGCATTAATGTTTTCAACGATAATAGCACTATCATGTCATAAGTGCTTACTCAACTCATTAGCAGGCAACAGCAACATGAACTTTACACCACACACCAAGATGCTACCAAAATCGAGTACCTCCACGTGACGGCGTACACGACGACTGTGATGACCAACAACACAATCGCCACGCTGCAACAAGCAATTTCTGCCGGTGTCAAAGGGTGACGTATTAAAATCTGTTTAGCGTCCTGTAAAAAAGTACAGGATCATAATTAAGGCAATGTTACTAATTAAAAACTAACATTATATTTAGTTTAACATATGCCTGGAAATTAAAACAATGGTACATTTCTCATACATTTCAATAAAATTCTCGAAGATGATAATTTTTAAACAATGAAACAGTATCGAAACCGCAGTGGTCTGTTCGCTTTGTCAATATGAAGCTCTAATTGTCTACAACTTTGTCTTATATGTGATGTTACATAACAGATACGGTTAATTGCTGGATAATGTTTTCTTTCTATATTAAACTCTCATTACGACGTCTAAAATGTCCGATGGCGTGAATGTGTCGTATAAGAAAATATGAGAATGAAGCTAGCGAGCTTGATAAAAGGTCGCTTTAAACGATATTTCAGCTATACCACGGCGTTTCAGTTTAATGTAGACGGAATGTTCGAACTGGCGATGTCTTTGGCATTGACCACCTTGCTTGAAATACGCAAAAGGGCATGGTACACGCGTCTACATACAAACACAAACACACGCACGCACACGCACTCGTTCACGTATGTTTATGCATACTTACTGGACTCATAAGTACAGCAAAGTTCGTCAGATGACCACAGGAGCACTCTGTGGAAGATGTTCCTGACATACTGACATTGCATCCCTTAGAATCCCACAGGCTGAAGAAGAAATAACACCAAGTTAATATATAAGTGGAATTAACGTTCTGGAATAATTTCACGGCGTGTGAGCTCAGTGCGTGAATAGGGACTGAAGAGCTATGGCAAGGCAAGTTTAAGTTATGCAAACCTGTGTGGTAACTACAGGCCAGAATCACAATGTTGGTGAATCTTGTTTTCTGCGAACGATAATTCTTTAGTATTTTGTCTACGGGACGCGACACTGTAAAGCGAAGTAGGACTCTTAAATGACTCGGTCATTCTTGTCCTTATAACAAGTTCTCTTTCACAATAGCTCTGTCTCCAGGATCAGGGTTTTACATGGACACATTGATTCAGACTGGCGAGACACCACATGATTGTCCAATTCTAGTATCTGTAAAATCAACTGCCAACAACACATTGTTTCAAAGTTACACATAGTTCATAGTTTCAGTTAAAGTAACATCTAGGTTTGACAGGTGTACCTGACAGATTATCTAGTCTCAACAGAAAGTCCTTGTCCCTCATCAGCCATAACAGTTGGTCCATCTTGGAACAAGCTGCTATCATTTGTTTGTTTGTTGAACGTCGGACCAGATAGGCATCATGGGTATCGGTCTCCGCATGTCGGATACGATGACATGTGTCAACCAAGTCAGTGAGCCTAACCACCCGATCCCGTTAGTCACCTCTTACAACTAGCATTATGTGGTTGAAGATCAATTCTAACCAGGACCTTCATGGGTGTAGCTGCTTTCAGCTAACGATGTTGTTCCATTAGTTGACGTTTTCGCCACATCTAGAATGCCAGGTACAAACAATACATACCCCTGTGATGTATTCAGGTAGACGCACATTCGATCTTCACCAGTTAGAGAAAGCTGGAATGAGAACACAAACCAAACTCAGACATTTCTTGCACTATTAAAGTGTATTTCGCACTATCAGATCATAGCCTTCAATCAGATTATACAATTTGAACACTTTTAATTTCAGAATGACTTTTTCATGCTAACAGCCATGCCATATAATACTGTTTCCCGTAACGAATTATATAGAACATTTAAAACTCTAATACAACTCGAATTGTATTCATCTAAACTTACTTTTAAGTGTAATAGAAACATATTTGCCAAATATAGAATAGGTTTGTTGGACTTAATGGTAAATAGAGGCAGAAAACTGTCCATCCCAAATCTGAAAGATCTTGTCCTTTCTGTAATTCTTCAATAGAAGATGAACTACATTTTACCCTTGACTGTCCATTTTGTGAAGATTTACGTTACACGTATATCCCAGAACGTTATCTGTCGGAACCACCACTGATAGCTTTTACCAGTATATTAACAACTAATAATGAATCCACCCTACGTAATCTAGCTCTCTATGTTAAATATGCATTTATTCGTCATAAAGAGCACTTACAATTAATAATCTTCTAACGTTTATCCCTACAACATGTATGTAACTCTCTTGTATAAGGGCCGTTGGCCTAAATACAATAAACGACTGTCTTGTCTACTCTTTCCCTTTGGAAAACAAAAAGGTATGAAGCCTTTACATCTGTATGCATCAAGGTCATCTTCAATGGCGGATCGAGTGCTTTCGTTGGAGCAGGAAATAGGTTAAAGGCGAGGAGACCCGAGTTGACCACCAGTCTTCTGGATCCATTCTTGCTGGAAACAGAAGTTTCAAATAAAAATATATCACAAAAAGATAAATATATTCTGACTATGAATTATTATACTCGACGTTCATACGACGACGTGCATGCGTGTGTATGTGGATGTGCGGCTGCTTGTACTAGCCCAGTCTTAAGCTGGTTTTATAGTGCTAGCCCACTGAGATGCCATGCCGCAGTGAAGCATGAATACCCCACTCAGACACATTATACTGACTCCGATCCGACCAGTCCTTGTTGTACCCATTAATGCCGAGCGCCAGGCAGGGACCAACAAGTACCATATGTTAACGTCTTTTGGTATGACGCGGTCGAGGATCGAATCCGCGATCTTCCGCTCTCAAATATATTCCTAACACAGAACTGTGGCGATACAGTGTAACGCTAACTGGATATAAATACCTACACTATTTATTAATATATCTTGATGAGATAACCAAATATTTTATATGACCCTACCCAGTGGCTCCCCCTGCTGGTTCAACTACTTGTCCCCGGTCGGAAGTAGAGATAAGATGTTCTTGTAGAACATTGAGCTGAATCTTACTGACGCATCTGCTGAAACAATAAACAAAATATTAAAGCATAAATAATTAATAATACTCAGAATATCTGTACAATCTTTATGAAATGAGGACAATGCACGACACCCTCAGAGTGCAATGATTACTTAAATTAAACCAGGTCACATGCGACCACGGGAGATGAGAGAAAATATGCTGGTGAGAAACAGTAAGTATACAGAAGAAGGCTGAATTCTACCAAGCATTAGACAAGTTATCATCGCCGAAATAATCCACATTTGAGGTCCAATACACATATATGATTCCCGTATGAAAACATATAACTATCGGATATCCATTTCTGGGAGTTTCCTTTCTTTTTCATTTTTTATTTTATGTTTTTTGTTTGTTTGGGGAGAGTTCAGTTTAAGGCAGCGTCTAACATGGATGTACACATTCGTTTTGGCTTGTAGCTTAGCTCTCCAGAATCAGAAACACTACGTTCAGAAATGGAAGGAAGTTTGTTGCTTGAAGGATATCTTGTTGGCGCTTTACCATCACGAGGAAAAAATATGCATACTATACTCTTAAACAAAGTGGACCGCCTCCGTGGTGTAGTGGTTAGAGCGTCCGCCCGGAGAGCGGAAGGTCGCAGGTTCGATCCCCGACCGCGTCATACCAAAAGACGTTAAAATATGGTACTTGTTGGTCCCTGCCTGATGCTCGGCATTAATGCGTACAACAAGTATTGGTCGGCTCGGAGTCAGTATAATGAGTCTGAGTTGGGTATTCATGCTTAACTGCGGCAGGGTATTGCAGTGGGCTAGCACTATAAAACCAGCTTTAGCCTGGGCTAGTACAAGCAGCCGCACTTACACATACACGACGTTAAACCCAATTTCACCTAACCTCACCTTAAACAAAGTAGGGGAACTTCCTTTTCTTATTTACGATTAAAACAATTGGGAGATATATCGGAGTCAATCAATGTTGGTAATGATAATAATGAATGTTGTGAGAGTGCATCACTACTTGCACTTCCTTATGACCATAGTTGTTTGAACATTAATCTTGAAAGATGATTGGTGTATGACGTGAAATTTGCATGTGTACGATTTTCATTTTCAAACAAAAACACCCGGCCAGAAGCAAATACTAACAACTGTGTGATGGAAGATGATTTTCAAACTTAATGATCTACAGTGATTTATCGACCATCGTTTTTAACCGTCAAAACCAAGAATGACACCCAATGCACATGTATGGGGCTACTGCGTTGTGCACGTGCATCCCATGCGTTGTGTTTAGGGGTGGTGATAAAGAGAAATGGTGCTGCGTTCATAAGAAATCTGTGTTTGAAACGTTTGTTAACGCTTATACTTCTGCAATGATGGTTTTGAAGACGAATATCATATCCTAATGGCTTGTCCTTTGTAGAGAGAGAAGAATATACCACCTTGTTATTATACATACCACTCTAAACTTGAATTTACACAACTGATGTCCAGCCAAGATAAGTATGTATTGTTTGATACTGCTATCTATCTGACCAGGAGTTCACACTACGAAACTATGAGCGGGCGCTCATGGCATTATGATTCTCCATATAAATCACGTCATTGTACTATAGGCCCCAAAGGCCATCATCTACGAAAATAAAGAGTCTGAGTCTGAAAGTGTCAGTGTGTGCTTATACTTCCTATCCAAATTGAAAGTTCAGGTTCCCCTACTTTTGTTAAAGAGTATATTAGAAATCAAATTACGTTTAAAACGAAACTTGATTTAGAAAACGTATACTACCTGTCAGTTGTTTCAGTGTCTTGCTGTCAAGCTTCAAATTGGCTTTACTTGTGCCAGTGTTGGAATCCGAGTTGGTAGAAAACTCTATACCTTTCACAGCTGCAGGATCTGTTTTACCAACCTTCAGTTCTAAATAACAACATGGAAGGACAAGTGTAGATAGTCATATTATGTCGATGACAATTCAAAATGCGCAGAAATGCTTGGAATAGCGGTCTGGAATGAAACTATATCGGTCAACGCCATCTGAAAGAAATATGTCGTAATCTCCCATATGCAGAGTATACCGTCGACCTTAATATGACTCGAGTCTAGAAAGGCAAACAGCGCATAAGCATAAGTGTTTGTCGACAACAATATAAGCGACAACAAGTTTTCCATGATACGAAATATCTTCAAAACGCACAGTCCCATGTTCGATTCCGATAGGAGACTATTTAATCCGACAGTCATCCACGTCTATGAGCCATGATGCCATGTTCGGTCGGCCATTACGACAATCCTTGAGATTGTGGGCCCGTTCTCACCCAGATTCACATGGGATAAAACAGGAAGTGATTTGGGCATCCGTTTCCAACATCTATGAGTAAATTTCATTTTCCATCTCTGTATGTTATTGGGTGAAATGAAACATTTATAACGATGAAGGTTCTCAGAGAGTGGGTGAGTTATGTATTACTCCGCTTTGAATAATTACTTTAAGTCATTTATATCGTGTGACAGGGAAATATGTGGCGGGCAAGTCCCTGCGTTCATGTCATGCGAGTTCTAGATCATTACTTCTTTGGTGAAACGGTATTAGAAAGTCCCTGGCACATCATCTGGGTCAAACGAGATGTAAATCAAATAGTAGACCCGTGAAGATCCGGGTTCGAATTGGTCTTCAGTAACACTATTCTTGTTGTAAAAGGCGACTAATGGGATCAGGTGGTCAGGCTCGCTGACTTGGTTGACACATGTCATCGTGTCCCAATTGCGTAGATCGATACTCATGCTGTTGATCACTGGGTTGTCAGGTCCAGTCTCTATTATTTACAGACCGTCGCCATATACCTGGAATATTGCTGAGTGCGGCGTCAACAACAACCAGATACACACTAGTTTCTGGTACGCCTTAAGTACCCTATTGTGAACATTAAACGACGAAGATCCCGTATGCGAGCCCCCGATACTGAATCATATCGGCAGACCTACCAATGTTAGTTGACTCGGCAGTGAAGACATCTCCCTCGTCCAGACAGTTAGTTGTTACATCGGTCATTCTGTCCAGTAGCTGAAGCACCGTAGTTTGCGATGTCGCTGTATCCTGTTTAGAAATATATGCTGTGTTAATACATCATCATACAATGTATAGGGCCCTTAAGTAGGTCACGGCACTTCGCGAGACCTTAATACTTCCGGTGATAAACAACGCGCAAAGAGAGCCAACTTAGTACCGGAAGTAGCGCCTCACGAGACTTACAGGCCCTTTTGTAACTAGCTGGTTTACCAGTCCTTTGGTTTAAAGGATGCGGCACACCAAGTTGAAGCATAGCTTTGTCATGATCTTGACAACCACAACCACGAGAATGAAGACGTGCTTTCATGACACTGTGTCAGTCACTTGTTGAATGGACGAATTGATGGCGAGCTATCTTTTTAACATGTGAGCGGTATATAGATTCGGTTTTATTATCATCAGACGTTTTCATATCACTGTAAACATTAAATGTTAGTTTCAACAATTCCATTACAACGACTTTCCTATACATCAGATGAGGAAATTGAACGCTATTACTAGTAGAGAAACGTTTGGGGACCATGGTCAAAATACAATATTTTGCTCAAATTATTTCTTGCAACTACCCCTAACTATACGTTTTCATTACATAATGGAAGCACAGAAAAAACAAGCTACAAAACATATAATGCCGATTCAGTCCTACGATAGAGGTAAGACATTTAGAAAACGTTTCTGTAATTTTGAAATTTGCAATTTTTCTTATTCCAGTTGCCCATACCAAATACAGCCTTGCCATACCTCAAAGCAATACATTGAACATGAAAACACACGACTCTCCAGAACAATACCCACCTTCAGTTTCTTCCATTCGCCTACTGTCCGTGAATCAAGAATATTACTGACGCTCGCCAGGAATCCCTGAACGTAAAATGCATCAGTGGTCAAAAGAACAGCACATGCAGGAAAGCATATACAAATTTCAGATCTATGAAATAGTAAGTAGATAAGCATGCATTCGTCTCTATGAATAGTTCGTACGACAATAATAATCCACGTTTGAGCAGTTTACCAATATAAGAATGTCGTGTATGTCTTTCGCAGTCAGATATCTGTCCTTTGTATCAAGTAGGCCTTTTGATATATTAATATTATCTTTTATTTAAAATCTTCACCCCATTGCTACTTTGTGACCAAATATATACAACAGTAGTAGCACCTGTTAGTAATTAGCATTAAACAGACCTATGATAAACGATCAAGGTTGTCTGGGTACGTTGATATGTATTTAGTCAGGTCGCGCACTGTAACCTCCTACTGGAACCCCAATTCAATGACTGGCCTGTACATCACAAAACCCTTTCAGTCACCCAGAAGTCTTTAGTCTTAATTGTTTTCAATACAAAAAAGATGTAGACCTCTATGAACTGTTTTGTGTCCACTTTGCTGTCAGTGACGATGCAGCCTTCGATAAGGTTCAACAGCCGACCAAGAGCCTGCAGTGATAGAACGATCCACTTGCTGGACAGTTCATTGGGCTGTGTACTCTCCGAGATTGCTCTGGCAACGCTGGAGATGTTCGCGACTCGCAGACCCTCTTCAATCCACTCAATCTGGAGCAGCAATCCGTTTCATAATGATTGAAACATATGTCAATGCAAATACATAAAAATCCCGGTACTTGTACATGGTATTATTCGTTAAATAGAAGGACTGATCCGTGTCGGAAATAGGTTTTGATTCTCCTTCGCAGCAGTCATGAGCAATATGTTTCATCTTGGCGAAAACAAAGTATTTTCATTTTTAGTCAAGATTATGTGAGATGGGTTTTGAGCTGCTCTTAACAATATTTAGCAACATCATGGCGGAGGACACCGGAAATAGGTTTCGCAAAGTGCACATATGGGGAGTGGAACCCAGGCATGACGAACGAAAGCTTTATATCAGTGGGCGTACATTATAGCATCGTTTAAGTATCAAGTCAGTACGTGACACGCTATTTTGCTGAGCCCATGGACGTCACGTTACGACGTGAACTAACGTGTTATAAACGTAAATACGTTGGGATGATTACATTATGTCCTTATATGATTTCATTTAACTTTAAGAAATCTGATTTTGAGGACTGTACTCACATCATCAATGACCCGTTCTAAGCGTCGAACGGCGCACTGACCACTGTCCTCGTCCAACCATTGGCCATCATCACCACAGTGGCGAGTAATTACCGCTGAAAATGTCAGGTTTCAATTTACAACCTTATTTTACAATATCGAACAAACTTTATGGATAACATCTTCTTTTTATTCGTGAGTGCGACGTTTCGATACAGATACTTGTACCGTTGTCAAGCATAATGGAACATGAAGAAGGGGGAAGTGTATATATGCTAGATGTAACAATGTAACAAAGAAAACAACATAATTACATAAAAGGCTAGGCAGAAAGTTGATGAAGCCAGAGAGTAGACAAAGGACAGGCTCACGAATAAAAAGAAGTTGTTATCCATAAAGTTTGTTCTATGTTGTACTTCCCAACTTCTAAAATGCCACTCAAAGAACTTATTTTACAACCTTACGTAATGCTTACAAAATCCATTGATATCATTTTGTTTATACTTATGCTGTATTTTCACGACGGACAAACTTGGAATGGGTTGATCACTGGATTGTCTGGTCCAGACTAGAATACTTACAGACCGTCGCCATATAGCTGGTATATCGATGAGTGGAAGTTTGACAACAAATAAACATGGAATTTGTAATACATGTCCTTATGGGCATTATCACACACTTCATCGTTTGAAGTCGATATTGTTTCTTATTTTATAATTCTGAAATGATGGCTGATTTGTACACAATATTATATCACCTGTGCCACCCGTAGGACAAGGATATTCCGCAGTAGAACCAGCCCGTGTCCCATGCCAGTTTCCTTCCTTGTCACATCGGAGGACCTCAGCTGGGTAACAGTAAATTGCACATAGGTGAACAATACTACATCTCGGTGCCTTTGCATTACTTAATCTATCCACTCACCTCACTGTCATGTGTACCCGCATCTGAGAGGTGTTGGTTTGTACCAATAGTCAGCAATATCATAGTGGATATGACTTCGACGTTATATGAAATTAATTGTAATGTTAAAGACCCTCGTCATCGTATTCCAACTGCGTAGGTTGATGCTTCTGATGTTGATTCCTAGATTGTCTGGTCCAGACTCGATTATTTACATATTGCTGCCATATTGCTGGAATATTGCTGAGTGATGCGTTAAACAACAAACATACGAACAAAATACCCCCGTTCAATTAATATATAGCGCTTGATTGAGTTTATCCAACGTCTATCTATATCCGACTCACCTCCAATAATGGTCACGGTTGTAGATTGACTTCTCTCCCCCAAACCGACATCATTTTCACCCTCACAGAAGTAAGTTGCGTTCTGAAATCCACCGCCAGTGACGCTAAGCCGGGAACCTGATAAACATCCCTCTCGAACATAAATACCGACGACCTGGTTCCCGATCCACAAACGTTACAACCTATCCAGGGCTCCAGATAAGGGCCGTATCGGCGTATGTACGGATAAAAAATATGCAAGATACGGTAGGAAATAATTTAGAAAGCGTAGCAGATACGCACCACAGCAATGGTGTACGGTCTTAGAATCATTTACAGACGTCTTTATCTGGAAAAGTATCGTTTTATTGTTTATTGACCTGTTTACACAAGAGTAGCAATGTTGTGGTGCATATATGACACGAAACACAAGATTACTGATACGCCATTAATTTCCATTCAGTACTCTAAATGTACTCTGAAGGTTTTCCAGTACTCCTATATTGAATAAATAAGGAGTACGTACTCCTGATCATGAAACATTATCTGGAGCCCTGCCTATCGTAACTCTATACTTTATCATAGCCTTAAGAATGGCATAGAGCTACGAACGGTTTCTAATACTTATCTAATATAAAATAGCAAGTCAAGAATCTTGAAACTGTTTGTATTCAGTCCTCAACTAGTATTGCCCTGTATCAGTTCCTTGCTGACATATGTCTTTAACTGATGCAAGTAACTCGAGACTGATACACGGGCTCCAGCTCTGTGTGGATATACCTCTAATGTACACACAGATAAAATCTTTCAGTATGAAGACTGCCATTTTTCAGTCAACCATGATAAGGCACTACTTCGTCACCACTGCTGTTTAATAAAGTGTTGATCATATATGGATTCCAGGGTGCCAGAGATCTTAGCTTTTAGGTGACCGTAACTCCCTTATCTTAACATAAACTTAAGGTGGTCTTAACGCTAAGGTTGCTTTGTTCAACGGCAGCCGGAACGTGTAATCGGAATCCTACGGATTTTAAACCTGAATTCGTTTCGGTATCAATTTCATAAAAACGTGAAATCATTAGGATACACACACGTACGCACGCACGCGCAATGGCAAATACACACGCACGCAAACACACACATACACAAACACGCACGCACGCAAACACACACACACACAGACGAAAATGCAAACATAACAAAAAGCAACACATTCATGTAATAACTGAGAGTACTTACTTGTTCCCACTGTCATTAGCCCATTCTGGTACCAGTGAAAGGTCGGGGTCGACTCAAGGACCGACGACCTTGTCAAGTTGCAGCTGAGTGTGATATCTTCACCAGACCTTATGACGACACTCTTCATAGGCAGGAGAGTTACTACTGGACGGGGTATAACGAGTACGTTCATCTCCTGACTTGATATCAGCCCACCCTCATCCCTGAGACTGCACTGAAAATCTCCTGGAAAATGTATATACACGAACATTAAAGCTGTCAAGAGGCCACTGGATTGCAGTAACTAGAGCATTTTACAAATTACATTTATTCATATGTAGATGCTTTATGTAAATCTATTTATTCTGGACAGCTTTCTAGCACAGAGTTGAGGTACCTAAACCAACCCTGCTGCTGAAACTGAAAGATTTTGTTTGTTTATTGACACACTCAGCAATATTCAAGCTATATAGCAGCGGCCTGTAAATAATCGAGTCTGCACCAGACAATCCAGTTATCAACAGCATGAGCATCGACCTACGCAACTGGGATACGATGACATGTGTCAATCAGGTAAGTGAGTCTGTCACCTGATCCCGTTAGTCTCCTCTTACGACACGTATGGGTCACTGAAGACCAATTCTGACCCTGATCTTCATGGGTGAGAAACCCAAATAATCACCAATGAATGTTCTCAAATAGGCATTGTTCTTGTTCCCACATACAGTACTTACTCACTCCGACGTCAAAACAGTATGGCCTTGAACAATACCTCTAGAATTACATAAATATTTCCAAATTCCGATTTACATGCAGGGATCGGAAATGATCGATAAATGATCCTGTCCACAAAATCAAATTGTCCAACTGCGTGCACTTTATCATATTTTAATAGCGCTGTAAGCAAAGACAGCATTAGTTCTAACCACATGAGTGTAAAAGGGGTGCACCTGAATCTTTGAACAAGATGTTAGCAGCGGTGAGTGTTCCGACGTAATGCCCTTCATAAGGACTCGTGAGGTTTGTCTGTAGTCGAGAGTTGGACAAGGGTACAACGAGTGCGTTCCTGGACGTCATCCGCCACTCCATGGTCACGTCACCAACAGGTTGGACAAAGGTACCATTGCACGTCAGTTGTATCTCGGTGTTGTCCTTGGTGGATTCCGGTGTGTTTGAGGCGTTCGGTGAGGAATACTCGATCTGTGATACCTGGGTGGAGCCAACTGAAACGAAACACATGATTGAGATGGATCAAATACTCTCCGAACGGTGTCAATCATGTCCTGGCCCACGACAAAGAGAAGCTGTTCTGCAGTGGCCACTGGTCTTTAAAAGGTTTGTGCCCAAAATTCTGGGACGACCTAGGTCTTCCTGTGGCCTGCAAGAGGTTCTGGATGCTGTTGCCTCATTGGAAGGTGACGTCTATGTCAGCGTGCTGCTTCAAGAGTCGTCGGATGTGGTGGCTAGTTGATCCTATGTATGGGAGACTGATGGTGAAGGGGGCTGTTATCGGGGCGGTTTGGTTGTTGTATGTCATCCCTACTGGCTTCCTATCAATTTACTCAATCTCTCATACAAACGTTGTACATCAACCTCATCTATTGTATTAACAACTCATTCCCTATGTACTGTAACAACAACTCCTGTATATATTCTCTCAATTTGTTACTCATGTATCACTTGCTTGACAACGACATTAGAACCTATGTCGAAACGTCGCCTCCACAGAATAAAAGAAGTTGTATATCCATAATAATTGTCATTATTCTTCATCAACTCAACTTCTAAAATGCCCACCAAAGAAGAAAACCTCATTGAGATGCTCAATAGCTTTGACTGATCACTCTTGCACCTTGCCACGTTTAAGACGCCTGCACTTCCTGAGCCCCTTAGGTCACTCAAGTTATGTTGGACAATGGCCGGACAATTTAAGTCATTTTTCAGTGTGAATGATCCCTTGACAAGACTTTCAAGTTCACCCATGTAAAGAAGATAAGTAAGACTTGGGGGTCTGAGATGAGAAGGTCCAGGTCATTACACAAATGGCCCTGTGTAGATGAAACGCTTTCAAAGGAAAATGAAACGGAATCACGGAATGAGTTTTCACGGTTTAAAACTATGCATGTGGCATCAATGATTTTTATTGAGGAATATTTCTTTTCTGTGATCATTTTTTCCAAAAGGAATAGGCGAATGTATGGACTATCAGATTCGTACTAAGAAGGGGTAATATTATATTCTCACCTCGATTGCTAATGATGAGGCTTGTCTCGTTCACTCTCATGCTCCCTACAGATCCATTGTTAATAGACCTTGTCAGTTCCGTAACTGCACTCGCAGAATTGTCTCCATTTGGAAAGATGAGGATGAAGTGAACGTTCACATTGTTGGTACTACTCTTGCTGTCAAAATAGATATAAAAACGATGCGAAGGATTCTCCATGACATCACATTAATACAAACATATACTGGATTGCGATTCATTACAAAAAGGAAAAGCACAATTGATTTCTCGTCATAAAAATTTGGGAATCGTAACGCGAGTTACGTGTAAAAATCAGCGTTGTTCTTAAAAAGAAAAGGTTACTTGTTGTCACGGCTTCGTTTTATAGCCGCTTAGAACATAATTCAACAATTTCATCTCAACAGCCTACTTTTTGAGAACATCTTAAATTGGCGATGACGGAAGATGTTTTACACCTTCAGTAGGGAATGTTTCTGAAATACCAATGGGGCAACGTCAAGATTGAGAACCCATGATCTGAGGAACCTGGCACGAGGAAGGGATGCATTCCTACATCAGAAACTGAAGTTAATAATGTATTCAAATCTACGGTATTTCAAGACAATGTTTTGCTAGTGTTGTTCTTTGGCACTGTGACGTCACCTGAACATCTCGACGTTGACCGTGACGCCCACGTTTTGCGTCCTGAAGATTTGCTGCATCTGTAGAAGATGAACATGAGTTTATCTAATACAAATGTTAACGTTTGTTACAAGTTCCTCCTTAATTTAACACTTGTTGATTACTTAAATCAGTTCCCTAATAGCTATATACTTCAGCGTTAGTTCATGAATGTTAAAATATGCATGTGCGTGCGTCCGTGCGCGCGTGCATGCGTGCGTGTGTGTGTGTTTCGGTTGTTTTAGCTTCTAAATTCCGACTGCAGTTAAAGAGCGTTCTGGGGGCGCTATACGACTTCTCATCGGAATTGTGATAATGTCTGCAACCTTTAAGATTTCGAAATGTTTTGTGGTGGATACGTTGCGGACACCAAAGTAATGACCGATGCAATACCCTTCTTTCATCTGTTCCTTTGGCATTTTAGAAGTTGGAGAGTGATATTAAAGGCCACATACTTTTTATTGGTGGCATCTTCTTTATTCTATATTGATGCGACGTTTTGGTATTAGATATATCCTTATGCCGTTGTCGCGTCACTCTTGCTTGGCAACGGTAAAAGGATCTACACTGAAACATTGCATCATAATAGTATAAAGAGGTTGTGATCCGTAAAAGTATCTGGCTTTTATTTTGTTTATTTTGACTTGTACAATATGTTCACATGGGTTTTTCATTGTTTGTTTGTTTTGTTCTGGGAAGCAATTGACCAGCCTTTGCATGTATTAATGGAGGATGCCACACGTGGATGAGCACACCCTTTCTCGAACACCTGCTATCATCACTATTTGATGATAAACACTTGCTCATGATATAGTCGGAGTCGTACAATGGACTCTGTTTTCGGAGATTTCTTGTGTGTATATGAAGGGTTTGCTCGCTGTTATTTAAATATTCCAGTTGAAATGCATCAACGTCGATGATGATACGTTACGTGCCTGGATTGTGACGTCTGATTGCAGTGACATGAACTGGGAATATCTCTGATAGGCGTAGACCTGTTCCCACGTCCTGTTCAGGAGCTCGTAAGATCCTGTCCAAATGTCAGCTGTAGGGAACACAGACAAGTGAGTGAGTCAGTTTAGTCCGTTTAGGACCGTCTTTAAAAGCATTCCATCAATATCACGGCTTGGGACACCAGTTACGGGCTTCACATATTGTACCCATGTGGGGAATCGAACCAGGGTCTTCGGCGTGACGAGCGAACGCTTTAACCACTAGGCTACCCCACCGCCTCACACAGTAACAATGCATGTCGGACACATTCATATTGAAGCAGAAGTGTATCTAGTACACCTGAGATCAAAACAATCTAAATACATATACATAATTACAAAAGTTATTTTTCACTGAAAGGTCTTGCAATGTCGAAGATGAAAGATAACAACGTTCTTACATGAAAATGCCTTACATGATTAGTGTTTTGACATACATATAACATAATAACACTGTGAATAATACAACTATTTGCATTAATTAACAGTACCACTATTTGATTTAACCCCACTTGGGAAACTTGTCTCATAAATGTAGAAGTCTTGTAATAATTGAATAAAGTATATATTTTTAATATGAACTAATTCTGGTAACATGTTAAATGGTATAATGAAACAGTGATGATCAGTTTCATGTGTAAACTTATAAACACAGAGATGGATCACTATAAACAATATTAATTAATTAAATAAACCGGTTTACCAATGGTTATACTAAAGGAAACGGTGACGCTGATCTCGCCCGAATCTCCTTTCAAATTGACAGACATCGATACATTTCTTTCTCCATATTCTCCTTTGGTGACATTCAGGATTCCATCAGGCAGAAGCTTCAGCATCAAGTCTGGTTTGCCATAAGGGGAAATTATATCACCACGTGTGAATATACAGTATTAGTTGGTCATGGATGGTAATCAGTGCGGTTTAGAAACCATGGACAGACAGCTTACTTTAATTGTGATGAAAATCTCGAATAACTTTATAAAACGTAAACTGCTTCAGGTAATATAGATGTGTTAGTGTTTACATCAATTAGATTCTGTTCGATCCAAATCAAAACAGACTTCCAAGACATTATATAAATCTTTCTTTAGACAACACTGATTCGAAGGTCGAAGCATGTCAACGGATATTTAAACATTGCCGAAGACAATATAAAAAGGCTCACAACTACAACCAGTGTGTGTTTTTCGTAAAGAAGATCTTAATTACCTTCATCCGTAACGTAGAAGAGATCCGACATGTCATATTCTTTGCTTATCCGACAGTTTAGTTTACCGACGGGGTTTCCAATGTGTTGATAATTGACGTAAATATGTTCTCTCATGTCACAGCTCAAGAATAAAAATTCTATTTTGACTGTCACCACAGTTGTCAATTTCGGAATACCAGTATCTTTGATCTGCAAAATAAACCAGAAATGTGTCGGCGTAAAAATATATTAAGAATGGAAATATGACAGAATCGTTATCTGTTCAACCTAAATGAACAAAGGTTCTCCTGTACAGCTTAATGAACAAACGTTTTCACCTTTACAGCTTAATGAAAAAAATGGTTTCACCCGTACAGCTACTAGAACAAATGTTTTCTCCTGTACAGCTACAAGAACAAATGGTTTCACCTGTACAGCTACAAGAACAAATGTTTAAACCTGTACAGTCTAATCATGTACACGTACTGCAGTGTGTTTACTGGATATATTGCCGAATAGTTCAGTAAGACACGTAATGGACATGAAATATCAGAAATGAAAAAATGAAAGATTTCAATATTGCGTAATGATCATTGAGAAGGTATGCGGCAACAATGTGCATGTATATTGATATATGGCAGCGTCATTTATTGTTAAATGTTTGAATAGTTTTGGTACTGTTGTCAAGATTCAAGGGGCGGTTGGGTAGCCTAGTGTTTAAAATGTTCGCTCGTTACGCCGAAGCCCCGGGTTCGATTCCCCACATGGGTACAGTGTGTGAAGCACATTCCTGGTGTCACCCTCCGCGATACTGCTGGAATATTGCTAAAAGCGGCGTAAAACTCACTCACTCCAGATTCAGTTGAGGTCAACAAGTCACCGTGTGTCCAATATTCAGATGCATATGGAGTCAGGTGTAATCTGGAGGCTCATAAAACAGCATATATCATATTGTAGAACTGCTTACCTTCTGGAAGGTTCTTCATATTATATAAGTTGGTGGAGCGCATGCTTCTATCATATCACATTACCTCAAGACCAGACCCTGGTTATCAATCTTGGGTTATTTTGGAAGGTTGACCACTGTTGTTGTTGAGTTAATATTGTTCGTAATAACGTCTATTACTATTACTGTACTACTGCCGCTGTTGCCGTTGCTGCTGGTGCTACCACTACTACTACTGCTGCTACCACTACTACTGCTGCTGCTACCCCTACTACTGCTGCTGTTACCACTACTACTGCTGCTGCTACTACTACTACTACTACTACTGCTACCACTACTACTGCTGCTGCTACCACTACTACTACTACTGCTGCTACCACTACTACTGCTGCTACTACTACTACTACTACTGCTGCTACAAATACTACTGCTGCTGCTACCACTACTACTACTGCTGCTGCTACTACTACTGCTGCTGCTGCTGCTACCACTACTACTACTGCTGCTGCTACCACTACTACTGCTGCTGCTACCACTTCTACTACTGCTGCTGCTACCACTACTACTACTGCTACTACCACTATATGGTTGATTGTTATTTTATTTCATATTGTGTTTGTAATCGTACTGCATTCGTTAATGCCTCTCTACTGTTTACTTACACTGTAGTTTTTTGCTGTAATGTGAATTGATTTCTAAACCGGTTTAATTTCACAACACAATTGTACAATTGCTGTCTGTTGGTTTTACACTGCATTCGTTTGCGTAAACAATTCTTGATGAAAATGTTTCAATTTGGCAAACGACGAGTAACATTGTATTTACAGAAATAGATAAAAGTGACGTTCAGTCATGCAATACCTCAATATCTACTGATATATCCTTCTCGTTCCCATCAATAAAGTTCACCACTAGTTGTCCTGTGTACATGGTGATACCAACTTGAGGCTGAGGGACTAGAAAAGAAACAAAAAGTAAAACTGCAACACCGTGTAGTCTATACAATATTCTGGAGTATGTTCATAAAACGATCTTAGGCCTCAACTATCGTACGGTTGGTGTATAATCTGAGTTTGAACGGATTCGTGTCCCGATGACAGAGGTAACGTACAAAACCATTACCGCTCATTGTACATACGAATGGGTGTCTCTTGTGATCACTATGAACACAATTCCATTCCTACCCCGCTTGCAGCGATATTTTACGCCATAGTGTTTTCCACAAACTGTTTCACCCAACATATATCAAAGGGATTTTTCAAGCTAAAGGTTTGTGTGGAGACTTCATGATCAATCTTCGGTCTCTGATAGCACCAGTCAATTCAGCTTGTACCACCCGTATACCGCTCAAAACTCAGTGGTAATCAAATATTACCTCTGATGTCGTACGTCACATTGTCGTTATCTGAAACGCCGAACACCTTGGGGATGTTGACATGAACCTGAGGGCCCTGTGTAGCGACGTTGACAACGTACGTCTTTGACGTCATCTCTACTTTAGGGGCGGTGTTGAATGTGACGCTAAACACTATCGTGTCATTTCTTGGGTGCATGTCGTTCTCCTTGGCTATCAATGTAACCTGAAATGAAACAACAGACTTCACTACAATACTGAGAGACAACGAAAACAAACAACACAATATTTGGTACATGTATAATGTTGACGGCTCCTTTAGATCTGTGTGATAATGTACGTCTCCTGCTGCAATATGAATTGCATTAAGAGTTGTGTTCAGAGGACTATGAACCCGTGAAGATCCTGGGTAATCCCTTTCTGTTACCTGTATTATCATTCACATGGTTCTTGGCGACAATGAACCCAAATAAATTGCTCGATGCTCATGCTGTTGATTACTGGATTGTCTGGTCTAGACTAAATCATTTACAATCTGTAAATAATCGAATCTGGTTTTTCGATCAACAGCATGAGCATCAATCTACACAATTGGGATGCGATGACATGTGTCAACCAGGTCAGCGAGCCTGACCACCCGATCCCGTTGCTCGCCTCTTAAGACAAGCATGGGTTACTGAAGATCAATTGTAACTCGAATCGTCGTGGGTCCATTGTCGCCAAGAACCCTGCAAATGATGATACGGGTAAACAGAAAGGGAATGCCCTCAACGGGAACTGGGATTCCCTGACAGTCCGCATAGGTGAAAGTAGTGTTCTTTGACTGTCGTAACTTAATAGCACGCGGCCAGTTCAGCTGATCTGAATGCAGGAATTATAAAGTACACAATGATTATTCAATTTAAAATTACTCGTGTATCTTACCTGTGAAACTGGTTTGTCTGGAAAATTAAGCCTGTTGAATGTTGCATTAACGTGCACACACGTTTGCCAAAGGCGATAGTCGAGGTTGAGACAAAACAAATTCTCCACCTCTTCTTGAACGATCTGGAACTCAATGGAGTCGTCTTTGTCATGACAGTAGGAACTCGCGTTGGTGTAGTACATGTCTAGACACACTATGGGCTTCTTCCTGTCTAGCATGTCCAACTGGTAAGTCAGGGGGTGGACTCCGGGTTTACACTGTGGGGCTTTGGACTCTGTAAAAATATCAAAATTTCTTGGTTAAGTTATTCAATGTTTTTAATCATAATCAGTAGTGATGTATATTTTACACATTGTTTCTACCATCCCCGCATGAAACCTGAAGCAGGTAAAACGGGGTTGCTATGGTAACATAGAACCAAGACGTCGGAGTACGCTATCGGTCATAACTGTTGTCGTAATTGCTACAGGCAAGCAGCTAGCGGAATTGGAGATCAGACTGACCGATTTGATGCATATCATTGTATCCCTGTTGCGTAGACCTGTGGTCAAGGCCTCAGTCACTGGATTGCCTGGTCCAGACTCTATTATTGTCAGACCGACCTAATATAACGGAAAGGAGGAAGGAGGGAGGAAAGAGGAAGGAGGATGACAGAAATGGAATGGAGGAGAGGAGGAAAGGAGAGAGGAAGGAATGGATGAGGATGATGGAGAGGATGGATGGAGGATGGAGGAGAGGAAGGAGGAAAGAGATGGAGGAGAGGAGGAGATGAGATGGAAGGATGGATGGAGGAGGAGGAGGATAAAGAGGATGGATGGAAGGAGAGGAAGGAAGAGGAGAGGAGGAATGAGATGGATGGAGGAAAGGAGACAGAGGAGAGGAAAGGAGAGGAAGGAGATGGAATGGAAAAGATCTGATGACAGAGCCGACGACCTGAGAACTGCCCGACGACCTGACGACTGATCTGACCAAAGATAACTGATACGAGAACCACGATAACGACGAGAACGATGACCCGGATAACGATTTAACGACGACAAAAGCCGGAAAGATGAGAACGATGAAAGCCAAAAAAGCTTTAACGACGAAATGGATGACGATAATCTGATTTATCGCCGACGATAACGATATTGCCGTGAGCTGGTGAGAACGATGCAAAAGCCGATATTTTGACTGATATGCCGGATGACCCAAAAAAGCGGGAAAGATGACGATGCAAAAAAGCCTGGTGATGAATTGATGCCGAAAGAGATGACGATGATGAAAAAAAAAAAAGCGAGATGAGAACGATGAGAGATGAGACGACGATAGCCGGATTTCGATGACGAAAGCCGGATGAGGCGGATGACGAGCGGATGACGAAGCAAAAGATGACGATGAAGCAAAAGCGGAAAGGATGATGAAAGGACGAAGGAGGAGGAAAGGAAAGGAGGAGAGGAGGATGGAGAGCGGAGTGGAGGAGGAGGAGGATGAGGAAGGAGGAGGAGGAGGAGGAGGAAGGTGGAGGGTGGAGGATGGAGGAGGAGGAGGAGGATGGAAGGAGGAAGGGAGACGAGAATCCGATTCATGAGCCTGACGAGACCTGACTTAATCGACATCTGAGAACTGATCAGGACAGCCTAGAATATAGAAACAGTGAACTGTAAAGTTAAGCATAAAATGTTTCCATGTATCATATATTCTGTATAAGTACTATAACACACAAAGTGTCATCCATGTATCATGTATTACATCAACCGATGTGTTATATAGTCTGTCTAGTATCAAGTGTGTCTCATATGTCATATGTGCTGGCTGTATTACATCCCCGCGAGCCATGTATGCTGTGATACATCCACAATGCCTGAATGTGTTATATGTGTTATATGTGATATATATGACGTGTTGCACTCACAGTGTCCCCATTTGTCATTCATATATTCCGATTTATGATCTATCTATATATGATGCATTGTATCAACGGTATCCATGCATATCATATATGATGTATTGTATCAAAGGTACCCCTGTGTGTCAGATATGGGTGATTGTATCAACGGTATCCTTGCATATCATATATGATGTATTGTATCAACGTTATCACTGCGTGTCATATATGATGTATTGTATCAACGGTGTCCCTGCGTGTTATATATGATGTATTGTATCAACGGTATCCCTGTATGTCATATATGATGTATTGTATCAACGGTACCCCTGCTTGTCATATATGATGCATTGTTTCAACGGTATCCATGTATATCATATATGATGTGTTGTATCAACGGTATCCTTGCATATCATATATGATGTATTGTATCAACGGTACCCCTGCATGTCATATATGATGTGTTGTATCAACGGTATCCCTGTATGTCATATATGATGTATTGTATCAACGGTATCACTGCATGTCATATATGATGTGTTGTATCAACGGTATCCATGTATGTCATATATGATATATTCTATCAACGGTATCCCTACGTGTCATATATGATGTTTTGTATCAACGGTATCCCTGCATGTCATATAGTATGTATTGTATCAACGGTATCCCTGTATGTCATATATGATGTGTTCTATCAACGGTGTTCCTGCGTGTCATATATGATGTATTGTATCAACGGTATCCCTGTATGTCATATATCACGTAATGTATCAACGGTATCCCTGTATGTCATATATGATGTATTGCACCAACGATATCCCTGCATGTCATATATGATGTATTGCACCAACGATATCCCTGCATTTCATATATGATGTATTGCACCAACGATATCCCTTCATGTCATATATGATGTATTGTATCAACGGTATCCCTGCGTGTCATATATGATGTATTGTATCAACGTTATCCCTGCGTGTCATATATGATGTATTGTATCAACGTTAACCCTGCGTGTCATATATGAAGTATTCTGTTAACGGTATCCCTGTGTCTCATATATGCTGTATTGTATCAACGGTATCCCTGCATGTCATATATGATGTATTGTATCAGCGGTATCCTTATGTATTATATATACTGTTTTGTATCAACTGTATCCCTGCGTGTCATATATGATGTATTGTATCAACGGTATCCCTACGTGTCATATATGCTGTATTGTATCAACGGTATCCCTGCATGTCATATATGATGTATTGTATCAACGGTATCCTTATGTATTATATATGCTGTATTGTATCAACTGTATCCCTGTATGTCATATATGATGTATTGTATCAACGGTATCCCTACGTGTCATATATGGTGTATTGCACCAACGGTATCCCAGCATGTCATATATGATATATTGTATCAACGGTATCACTACGTGTCATATATGATGTATTGTGTCAACGGTATCCCTTTGTGTCATATATGCTGTATTGTATCAACGGTATCCCTGCATGTCATATATGATGCATTGTATCAACGGTATCCTAATGTATTAAATATGCTCTATTGTATCAACTGTATTCCTGCGTATCATATATGATGTATTGTATAAACGGTATCCCTACGTGTCTTATATGATGTATTGTATCAACGGTATCATTGCATATCATATATGATGTATTGTATCAACGGTACCCCTGCGTGTCATATATGATGTATTGTATTAACGGTATCCCTGTATGTCATATATGATATATTGTATCAACGGTATCTCTGCATGTCATATATGATGTGTTGTATCAAAGGTATCCATGTATGTCATATATGATATATTCTATCAACGGTATCCCTACGTGTCATATATGATGTATTGTATCAACGGTATCTCTGTATGTCATATATGATGTTTTGTATCAACGGTATCCATGTATGTCATATACGATGTATTTTATCAACGGTATCCCTGTATGTCATATATGATGTATTCTATCAACGGTACCCTGTATGTCATATATGATGTAATGTATCAACGGTATCCCTGTGTGTCATATATGATGTATTGTATCAACGATATCCCTCCATGTCATATATGATGTATTGTATCAACGGTATCCCTGCGTGTCATATATGATGTATTGTATCAATGGTATCCCTACGCGTCATATATGATGTATTGTATCAACGGAATCACTGCGTGTCATATATGATGTATTGTATCAACGTTATCCCTGCGTGTCATATATGATGTATTGCACCAACGGTATCCCTGTGTCTCATATATGCTGTAGTGTATCAACGGTATCCCTGCATGTCAGATATGATGTATTGTATCAACGGTATCCTTATGTATTATATATGCTGTATTGTATCAACTGTATCCCTGCGTGTCATATATGATGTATTGTATCAACGGTATCCGTACGCGTTATATATCATGTATCGTATCAACGGTATCCCTTTGTGTCATATATGCTGTATTCTATCAACGGTATCCCTGCATGTCATATATGATGTATTGTATCAACGGTATCCTTATGTATTATATATGCTGTATTGTATCAACGGTATCCCTGCGTGTCATATATGATGTATTGTATCAACGGTATCCCTGTATGTCATATATGATGTATTGTAGCAACGGTATCCCTGCATGTCATATATTCTGTATTGTATCAACGGTATCCATGTATGTCATATATGATGTATTGTATCAACTGTATCCTTGCATATCATATATGATGTATTGTATCAACGGTATCCCTGCTTGTCATATATGATGTATTGTATCAACGGTATCCCTGTATGTCATATATGATGTATTGTATCAACGGTATCATTGCATATCATATATGATGTATTGTATCAACGGTATCCCTGCTTGTCATATATGATGTATTGTATCAACGGTATCCCTGTATGTCATATATGATGTATTGTATCAACGGTATCCCTGCATGTCATATATGATGTGTTGTATCAACGGTATCCATGTATGTCATATATGATGTATTGTATCAACGGTATCCCTGTATGTCATATATGATGTATTGTATCAACGGTATCCCTGTATGTCATATATGATGTATTGTATCAACGGTATCACTGTATGTCATATATTCTGTATTGTATCAACGGTATCCATGTATGTCATATATGATGTATTGTATCAACGGTATCCTTGCAAACCATATATGATGTATTGTATCAACGGTACCCCTGCTTGTCATATATCATGTATTGTATCAACGGTATTATTGCATATCATATATGATGTATTGTATCAACGGTATCCCTGCGTGTCAGATATGGGTGATTGTATCAACGGTATCCTTGCATATCATATATGATGTATTGTGTCAATGTTATCACTGCGTGTCATATATGATGTATTGTATCAACGGTAT